AAATCCTGGCTACGGGCCTGGCTGTGCAGAAAGCTCTTTTTAAAAAAAGGAATAAAGAACAAATCCAAACAGCTCCAAAGAGGACTGAGCATCTCAGTACCAACAGAATAGCTTGCTAAAGAAGGAGTATGGTTTGCTGACACCTTGAACATCAGGAGCACTGCTGTAGTGAGAATACATTGCAAAGCTTTTTTGATGGGAAACCCTTTGTTAGGTGTAGCTACGAGGAGACCACACACCCCTGCGCTCCACTGGGAAAAACATTATTTTGTCCTCAAATACCTTCTAGGGATGTGGGGTTAGGGTATTTTTACCTTGTCACCTACATACCCATCGCCAGTACACTGATCTTGGAAGACAATCCTACTCGGACAACAAGGGATCACCTAAGTGAAGTGAAAGTAAAAGAAGTTACGACCAGGAGATATCTTTTTTTAACAACAGGAAGCGAATGAATGTCCACCTATACTCTAAATATAATGCAGAGAAAGTGAAGGATTAGAATAAGAATGTATTTCATCATTGTAGCTGTTTAATTTATATGCATAATATAACATACAGAGCACAGGATTAGACTTGTAGGATAAAAGCATGAACACTGTAAGGAACATCAATGATTTGAACTTTGAGGTGGTATTCAAGAGTTTGAAATGCTGATACCTTAGTTTAATCATCAAACAAAATGAAGAAGGACAGCAATGAAGGAACTAAATGAGACCCTCAGACATAAAGGTATGCCATGAAATAACAAAGCTGGAATAATGCAATAGTAATTCCTATATATTGGGTGAAAATGGAAGAGGTAAGAGACCTGACAAAAAGAAAAATCAACTTATTTGACAGGTAGTGCTGAAAGAAAGTTCTGGGAATGTCATAGACTGCTAAAAAGACAAATGACTGTGTATAATAGCAAACCAGTTCTGAATTCTTATTAAAAACCAAGATGATTAAGCTGTCATACTTTGGAAGTATCATAAAATAATGTTATTCCAGCGGAAGATATTAAAAATTGTGTCTTACATTGTCCTTTTAATGGTATGGAATGGATCAAGGTGGATCAGCGCTGCTTGTGTTATTGGACCTCACAGCAGCATTTGATACGGTCGATCACAATCTATTGACCCACCGCCTAGCCATGACTGGGGTTAGGGGGATACCCCTTAAATGGGTGTCCTCCTTCCTCCAGAATCGGGGACAGCGTGTGGTGAGGGAAGGGATGGTTTCCGAGAGATCTTTGCTAACTTGCGGGGTCCCGCAGGGAGCTATTCTCTCTCCTCTATTATTTAACATCTATATGCGACCGCTTGCCCGACTGGTGCGGAGCTTTGGGCTTGAGTGCCACCAGTACGCTGATGACACTCAGCTCATTCTGAAGATGGAGGGCTGGACGGACTCTGTACCCGAAAATTTCCATCAGTGCCTTGAGGCCGTTACTGGATGGTTGCGTGCCAGCAGGTTGAGGGTGAACCCAGCGAAGACGGAGATCCTTTGGCTGAGCCATTCGGGTGGGAGGGAGATCCAGCTGCCTACCCTGGATGGCGAGACACTACGTCTGTCACCTTCTGTAAAAAGTC